GGATGATGTGTATATATACATATATATATAGGCATACAATTTAGTGGATGTTTGATGTGAACGCTAGAGGAGATATCCTAGTAAAAAGAGATTAATCACTGTTTTTACTAATATTTATCTCGTCCACAATAATGCCAAACCCATATGGAAAAGAAATAGTAAAAACTTATATGATTCACTCATGAAAGTGGCCACTTTCTCATTACTTTCATACATTGTTTTAGTAAGTATCCAAAACATACAAGTTTCATTATATAATTTTTCAAGGGATCTTATATCTGTTTTCTCTCTTATATGCTTTTCATACAAGTTTCACACAAGACAGATACAAACTTGATAAGATTTATATATATCTTTTCCATATGGGAAGGATCAGCTTAGACAGCATGTTTATAAGATTTTTAACACCAAATAGTTTTCTCCAGATATAGAAGTAAAAGTTAATTTGAGGCTGTCATGTTAAAATAATGGTAATGGTAAAATTTCATCAAAAGTATGGATTACTGCATTGAGAATCCTGTAACGACTTACCTACTGAGATTTCTGGAGGAAGGTTTATAAAATGCCAAACACTTATACACCACTTTGCGTTTAATCATTTGTTTTGTCCTGTAAAAAATGAACTAAAGTGCGTTTACCTGAGATTGTACTGTTCCGACCTCCTCCAGTTCAAATGGTGAGTTCGCTTTCCTTTTAATCAGTTCTTCTGCAGCATTGAAACATTTTTCCCATTGTCCTTCCTCAATCATTGTCTTCAGGAAATCAGTCAGCTTTTCTTTGGCCTTTTTCCTTAAAAGGTCTTTCCGCACCAAGCCCTCCTCCTCCAAAATCAGTTTGTAATAAGTTTTTCTTCTGTCAAAGCAACTTGATATTTTTTTACAGCATTTTCTCCAGTTAATTAATGATATCAGTGCTGTTGCTCCATTGACAAACATGAGCAAAAAGTAGCCAACTCTCTGAAAAAGAAACACAAAATGCATTCATATTGTTGTGTTAATATGACAGGTTAAAACATATGAAACAGGAAGAAAATACCACTAACCCTGGACTCATTGTTCAGCTCAGTGATGCGTAGTCGCTCCTCAATAGTGAGCTTCCACTTGTCTTTGCAGGGTAACTGTGCCTCTTCTGTTCTGTTAGAGAGATGGCTCATACAGCAGACATACCAGTCTCCACTGAAAAACAGATATGCAGCCCACAGCACACTAACCAAAGATGCCTTTAAAAAGCCACGGAAAAACGAACCGCAAAACCTGCAGCATTTAGAGCCACATGTACCATCACATGTGAATCTAGAGACTCTCTGAAAGGAGTTGCTGGTCCACAGCATTAAGAGAAATATTATTATAGAAGGCAGAAACATGTAAATGCTGCAGTCAGACACTTGTGATTTGCAAGTGCATTCAAAGTTGCCGCTAAATAAAACAGAAATGGTAAAGATCACAATGATGACAATGTAGGTACGCCGTTTTCCCGAAGCAAGATTTGTGATTAAGGCCTCCATCTCTGATTCGATCTGCTGGTATCCTGCTTATACCCTCTGAAAATATACAGTACTAACAGGAAACCACGCACTTCCTGTTTTCAAAGTATGTGCACATATAAAACTGCAAACATCCTGATTATAAGACATTGTTTTGCACCTTTACACAATCATAAACAGTTATGAGTTCTTCAAACAAAGTAAATCAGCACATTTTTATGTGACATAAATTTGTACCATGACGTCTCAACAGAGTTTGAAATTTGAGGCAGCAGAACCAGAGAGTGTGAAGCATTCAGTTTCATATAATTCATGATCTGCTCCAGTAAAGAGTCGATGTTTGCTGACAGTGCTGGAGGTAAACACGTTATTGTAATCACATTACATTTGTCTTTAACACCCGCATTCTGTTATTAATAGAATAACAATGAGACTTTTGCTACATACAGTGCACAGTTCAGCTGTGAATAATAAGAGAGAAGCAGAGATGATGACTCCCAGGGTGGTCAAATATCAGCTGGCTCCATAAATCACTACAGAATCCCATCTTAACATTTACACTAGAATAAACACGCTTACAGCCTGGTCCAAAATGATTTTCATTTCAATTTCTCCCATTCGAATAATTGCATGTGGGATATGTGCCATTCATTCAGGTATTTTAAGGCTTAAAGTTAGCAGTGTGATTACTCGGATCATCAGACATAATATGACTTGCTGTGGGGTACATACTATTCAAGAAATTTGTGCGATCCACCTTTTAGTTTTTCATACAAAATGTATTTGTTTGGACAGTTTTTAAGCTCCGTGTAACCCACACTGTTGGAGCATCAACCTTCACAAAAACCTGGAAGTCATGCACATTGTTACCCAAGTCAATTTTGTGCACTACATATATTTTTGATTTTCCCTTTGTTGTAACTTTTGCTGCTTCATGCATCGTACCAACCTTTGGGAAACAAGGAGTCGCAGAAAACAACATGACCCAAGGCAGCAAGGTCTTGCTGGCTGAGTCATCCATGGAAAAGGAGAGGGCATGAGTCACTCAGTGCTGTGTCTTTGTATTCACAGTCGCCTCAAAAGCTTTTTCTGGCCTGCAAAGCAGTTGAATACTTGGATACATGTGATGGTACATTGCCCTCTTCTACAGAGTTCATCGCTTTCTTAAAATGCTCCATACTTCTTCAAGTACCACTGCTTAAGCAGGGGTGTCAAACTCAATTGCACAGGGGGCCAAACCTCAAGGCACATTTTAGGTCGCGGGCCAAACAAGATAAACATTTATGGATATTTGGTCAGAGGGGCCGATGGCGCGATATGACAGCCTCGCTTCTGTCAGTCCGCCCCAGGGCAGCTGTGGCTACAACTGTGGTTTGCCTCCGCCAGTGTGTGAATGTGAGAGTGGAAAAGTGTTATATAAATGCAATCCATTATTATTACATCCTTAGCGATTATCCCACAGGTCCGTCTCAAGTTACTCTCACTGAATCCGTTCAGAAAAGATTTTAAGAAATCTTCCAGTCTATTCTATTCAATTTTATTCATATAGCACAAAACCCCAACCGCAATCACCTCAGCATGCTTAAAATCTTTAATCCTGAGCCTTCAGCTGGTTTATATTTGTCAGGGAGTTTTCTCCAGTTTTCCATTTAGTGGACGACTTCTCACCTTGTACTCTTGGATACTTTAGTAGATGTCAGCAGCTTATAACTACCAGCTGAATTTGGCTTATATGTCCATTAAATTCCAGTAAACATTTAAGTTGATATGGTTTGGAACTGTGCATGGAAATAAGGTGAGCGTATTAATTTGCTTAACAACAGTGGGTGTGGTGTAGCTTTAAATTCATATTATATTTAACTATAAACAAAAACAAAAGAGCCACATAGTATAAATATATATGTTCATTAAAGTTTTTATTGCATGATTATTGGCAGCTGTTTCCTAAAAGTAAACACTGACATGAACAATCCCCATATGAGTTTATTACAGCTTAAAATTGCAAAAGAAAGAAAAAACATTATTCTTCAAAAGAAAAACAAATTTTTTAGGCTGACAAAACAAGACCAACCACATTTTTTCTCTGTTCTTTATAAAACATCCATCCATCCATCTTCTTCCGCTTATCCGGGGCCGGGTCGCGGGGGCAGCAGCCCAATCAGAGAAGCCCAGACCTCCCTCTCCCCAGCCACCTCCTCCAGCTTATCCAGGGAAATACCAAGGCGTTCCCAGGCCAGCCAAGAGATATAATCTCTCCAGCATGTCCTGGGTCCGCCCTGGGGCCTCCTCTCTGTGGGACATGCCCGGAACACCTCCAGGAGGCGCCCAGGGGGCATCCTTGTCAGATGCCTGAACCACCTCAGCTGGCTCCTTTCGATGTGGAGGAACTTCTCTCCCTATCTCTAAGGGAGAGGCCAGCCACCCTTCAGAGGAAGCTCATTTCTGCCGCTTGTATCCGCGATCTCGTTCTTTCGGTCACTACCCACAGCTCGTGACCATAGGTGAGGGTAGGGACGTAGATTGACCGGTAAATTGAGAGCTTCGCTTTTACGCTCAGCTCTCTTTTCACCACGACGGACCGGTGCAGCGTCTGCATCACTGCAGCCGCAGCACCAATCCGTCTGTCGACCTCCGGCTCCCTTCTCCCATCACTCGCGAACAAACCCCGACATACTTGAACTCCTCCACTTGGGGCAGGAACTCATCCCCGACCTGGAGTGGGCACATCTGAGCATTTACATTGTGGAGTAATGCTGCTAAGTGATATTCTTTACTATCATCATTGTTATTGTTATTATTATTATTGTTATACTGAGATGTATATATACGCTGCATATATAAATACAGCCAGCAAAAGACACGTCACAGCAAAGAGTGTAAATACAAAAGATAAGACTGTGGCAAAATCAGCTTCTTTAGGGAAGTGCTGCTTAAAGAAAGACAACAAAGGCTTTAATTTTTAACAACCTTAAAAAACAACACAAACTTGTAAAATGCCCCCGAAAAATGACAAGTACAAAGGTTTTTAAGGGTAACTTCTACTATCTCACATTACTAACTGCTCTAATCTAGAGAAAAACAACATTTAAAATGAATATTTTGGAGGTTTTGTTCTGTCAGCTCCTTTTCTGTTAAAGCTCACCTCTGATACACAAATACATCAGAGTTCCCAGAAAGCTGACTCTGGATGTAGCATTTTCTTTAGATGAAAGTTTTTATCCCCTCATTCAAAATTTTGAATGCATTTATTTTTGCTGTGTTTTATCTTTCAAGTTTTCATCTGAATTCCAAACTTACAGCATTTTACTGCTTATTTGGAACATTTTTAAATTTATTCCTCAATTAAATGTTGTGTAGCTGCAATATAAACTCCACCTGTAGAAGAACCTCTTTATGTTCAAGATGTCGAAGCATTCGGACGTATGTAGCGGCACAGTGCTCTAAACTGCACAGTTGGCATTGAGCACCTATAATTTTGTTATACATGTACGATAACAGTAAAGTGCTATTCTATTCTATTCTATTCTATTCTATTCTATTCTATTCTATTCTATTCTATTCCAGTGCCACCTCTCATTATATTTACTTCAAATGTTAATTTAAAAGTTAATTAACATTAACAGAGAACTTTTTCTCCCTAATAAATAAATTAGACTTCTAGATGAATTTGAAGAACTGGGTTAGCTAATGACAAAAAACCCTGAGCCCCCAAAGTAAACCTTTTATTATGAGATCATATTTATTTGGCCTTACCTTCAAGCCTTTATCCTGTTCAACTAAATCAGTTAAATTTGTAATTCTGTTATAATTAAAATAAAAGTCCTGAGCCTTGAAGATATTTGCAATTTGAATGTAAGTAAGCAATGAATATTCACAATATTCTACTATGAATATCCTATTAAGCCCCGAGAATATTTCAAGCACCATTTTTTACAAGTCAGCTCACCTTCACAAAGAACATATGTGGGGCCAGGATGCGTCACAAACTTCCACCACAATTTACCAAAAGCAGTGCAAATTAGCAGGGCACAGAAGAGCAGACCTGATGGGTGATTAATATCCTTACAAAAATAACATGGTGAAAGTGCAGCTTTTACACTCTGGAAACAACAAGGCAGTTCATATAAAAACAGGCAGTGGATGAGAATGGATATGTTCTGATGTAAGGGTAAAGTCCTGATAGCAACTCACAATTCTCAACAAGACAGTTTATGTTGGATGTTGCAAAGTTTTGTGCATGTGCTGCAGAGAAAATACATGCAGAGCCGTTTTGGTGCTTCGCATTTCACAGTGAATCCAAGACAAACACCCGTAATCCAGAGAACCTGTGCACGTTCCTGTTCCTACACTCCACTATTTTCTTTTATCCAGTTGCGATATTTGGTAACTTGGGTATAGACGCCAGGTTTGTTCTTGCGAGCGCAGCCTTCGCCCCAGCTCGTCACACCAGCCAGGAAGACCCGCCCCTTGGTGCTGGTGAAAGACAGGGGTCCACCAGAGTCACCCTGAGAATCAGAGAGGAGAGAGATTATTTTCAGCTTGAAGGTTGTCTGTGAGTCCCAATAAGCATTAAAAAAGGACATATTAACCGATCCCCGATAACTGACATGATGCCCTTTTTTGGGACTTTTGGAAAAACACTCTGTGGACTGATGAGACATAAATTGAACTTTTTGGGAGGCGTGTGTCCCATAACATCTGGCGTTAAAGTAACAGCATTTCAGAAAAGGAACATTATACCAGTACTTTTGGGTTTTGCAGGACAATGATCCAAGATAGACCAGCAAGTCCACCTCTGAATGTCTTAAGACAAACAAAGTGAAGACTGTGGAGTGGAGTAGTCAAAGTCCTGACAGGAATCTGACTCACATGCTGTGGCGTGACCTTAGAAAGGCATTTCCTACTTGAAAACCCTCCAGTGTAGCTGAATTACCACAATTCTGCAAAGATAAGAGAGCCAGGTTTCCTCCACAGAGCTGTAAATTACTTTGATTGCCATTAATTGCAAACGCTTGATTACGGCTGCTGCTGCCATGGGTGGCCCAACCAGTTACTAGGTTCACTGTTTCACACAGGGCCATGCAGGTTTGGATTCCCCCCCCTTTAATAATTAACACCTTTATTTACAGACTGCGTTTTGTGTGTTATCTTGTCTAATATGCAAATTTGTTTGATCTGAAACATTAAAGTGTGACAAACACAGAAATGTAGTTTATTTGTTTTTAATAAAACATCTGTCTCTTTCAAGCATTCGAGTTTGTACCTGGCAGGCGTCCACGCCTCCTTTGAGGACTCCAGCACACAGCATGTTGTCGGTCACCGGGTCTGTCAGGAGACTCTTGCACACTGTGCTGTTGATGATCCGGACTGCTGCCTTCTGCAGTACGGACGCCCCGGAACCTGATAGACAGCAAAATGACTTCTAACAGCGCTCTGGTTCTTTGTCATGATCTGACTTTCAGATGATGAAAGTTTGTTGTTTATTTTTTTGTTTTTGTTGCGTTTTTTTTTTTTTTTTTAGATCAGTCACCTCTTTTATTCATCTTATCCAGTTACCCAAAAACATTATAACGGTTTTAAGGTACAAAAATACTCTTATACCTGTAAAATGTAAAGTGGTGTATAAACACAGGGCAACTTGAGAAGCTCCCAGCAGTCCTATTGCAGTGAGGGAGAGTTTAGGCTCTCTCTCTAACTTTAAGTTTTGTCTAAAGGGAAAGTTTTAAGCCTAATCTTAAAAGCAGAGAGTGTGTCTGTCTCTCACATGCAAACTGAAAGGTCCGTGGAAGAGGGCCAGGCTGTGCATCTCATTTTACATGTAAATATCGCACATTTGAACCAGCAGTCTGAGAGTGAAGTGCTGTGGTAGGGTGAATTTTATGTTGAGGAACATTGTTATCTTTACTATTAGGTCTTTCAGAACAATGCTTAGTGTTGAATCCACTGGCTGGCTGGGCAGACACATCTGTGGGATCAGTT